CACAGCTAGCAGATGGTAGAACCAGGCTTCAATCCAACCATTAGCTCCTGAGCAAAGATTCACCCTCCACACTAAGCAGTTCTTCCATCAGACAGATTTGTACATATCCCATCACAGTCGCACATGTGGACTTTTTCTCCTGCAAAATTTCTGGGCTCCCATCACAAATCAAGTTTATAGCTGGGTCTCTGTTTCAATGTCCCCTAATATATTGTGACAGTTCAGCTCCAGGTACTGCCTTCTCAGAGCACACAGTGAACTCCACAGGAGGCAGTTTCTCCCTATAAAATAATACAGTTTTCAAAAACACTTTTATACTAGATTTTTTTTCAAGGTTTTTGCCATAGAGTGCCTGCACTTGCCAGAGAGAAAGAGAGACAGACAGAGAAAGTGAGAAATCACCCTCAGGTGGGATGGTCACACCACAATCACTTTTCCATTCTTCTCTGGATTTTTGGGCATGCACATGTACCCGGCATGATTGTCAAACCACTAAGTCTGGAACTTGGACCGTGGTCAGCCATGTGGTAGTACAGCGCCTTAACCATCATGCCACAACCTTTTACTAGATTTTAATAAAGGTAAGCAGTAGCATGGACCAAAAGATTAAGAAAATTTCATGGAAGCAAAATTTTAGCTGAGAAATTCAGGCCATTCACTTATTTTTTTGAAGTGAATTTGGAGAAACGTCTTTATTATTTGTTCATTATTATGATTTATACTGTGTAGGTCTCACCATTTGATCCTATCTCAGTACAATCAAACATTATTCTTTGACTGACCATATTATGAGCCTAACTGGTCTTTCTTCTTCTGCTGCCTTGACCTGATACAGGTGACTTTTCTAGGAAGTAGTCACAGTGACTCCTCACTATTCTGCTTTAGGTCTTTGCTCAAATTCCATCTGAGGCTTCCCGTTGTACTCAATGGTCTTAAAACTGGAGTATGTGGGGCCAGCAAGTGGCATAGTAGACTCCCACATGGCCAATCACAGTTGGGAGTCCTGAACTGGGCAGTTTGAAACTGCCAGGTATGTGTGCATGTGTCCAAAATCCAGAGAGAATGGAGAAGGGATTGTGGTTTGGCCATCCCCCCTGGGGGGGATTTATCTCTCTCTATCTCTCCAGTGAGTGTACATGCTCTATAGCAAAAACAAACAAAAGACCTCTGTCTAAAAAATAAAATAACCAGGGTATGAGTATTCTTGGGGTACTCTATCTAGCAGAGGACATTTTCCTAAGGGATACATAATAGATTGTTTTTATTTTAATTAATTAATTAAATTTGCCAGAGGTGCATGTGCTTGCTGGGGAGAGAGTGAGGAGGGAAAGTGAGAAAGTACCCCCTCATAGGGCATGGTCCTATCATAATCCCATTTCCATTTCCTCTTCCTTTCAGGGTTCTGGGCACCCATACACACATGCCTGGTGTATTGTCCAAGCCACTGGGTCTAGGACTTGAACCACATAGACATGTGAGATCCAACCGCCTTAACCACCATGCCACTGCTGGCCTAATAGTAAGAATTATTGGGGACCATAGGTGGCATGGTGGCTAAGGCGCTCGATACTCCCACATGGCCGACTGTGGTTTGAGTCCTGGACCCGGTGGCTTGCTTTCTCACTTTCTCTCTCTCTCTCTCTGTGTTTCTCTCTCTGGTCAAATTAAAATAAATAAATGAATAAATTTAAAAATAGTAAGAATTATTTTTCTTAAATAATTATTTATTTAATTTTATTTCTACTTCTTCAGTTTGAGGAGACACAGAGGGAGAGTGACAAAGCAAGCTGCCAGGTCCAGGACTCAAACCTTGGCCAGTCAAGTGGGAATCCAGCACCTTAACCATGATGCCACCTGCTGGTCCAGTAAGAATGTTCAAAGGGAAAGAATCTGTCACACATAAAATTCATAGGACCAGCCCTATAGCCTAGTGGTTAAGAGTGCTGGATCCCACATGGGTATTATGGTTTAAATCCTGGCCTAGAAGCTTGAAAAATAGGTCAAGTATGTGTTCATATAAGCCCAAATCCTGACAGTATGGAGAAGTGAAGAGAATGCAGCATGACAATGCCCCACTGGGGGGTTTTCTTGTGCTTTGATTTTCTCTAGCAGAGCACACATGCCCTCAAGTAATTTTTTAAAAAAATCAGTAACACATATGTGTATATATATACATACATGTATATATATACATGTGTATATACATATATGTTTTAATGAGGTGCTTAAGGTCTATAAGAATGAAAAATGGAATTGATACAGGACTCCATTTTGTCTTAGCAGTGTTACATGTGTCTATGTCTGCATAAACTAGCTGGGCAAAGAAAAAACTCCCAAAACCCTGAGAGGAGAATAGAGAGGGGATTGCAGTATGGCCATCTTCCCAGGGGGTGATTTCTCCTTCCCCCTTTGGAGAGCACACATACCTCATAGCAAAAACTAAAGACATTCCCAACACACTTTCATGTATAATATTTAAAAAATATAACATGACAATGTACTTTTAAGATGGACGACAGTATTAAACTACTTCAGTGTTTACTTTTCCATTAGATAGAAGAATGAAAGAAGAATTGAAAAATATCAGTATTGTGGGGACCAGCAGTTAGCGTAATGGCTATGTCGCTGGACTCCCACGTAGTCGACCGCGGTTCGTGTCCCGGACCCGGTGGCTTAAAACTCACGCCGGGCGCGTGTGCGTGCGTGCCCAAGATCCCGAGAGGAGAATGGAGGAGAAGGGATTGCGGCGTGGCCATCCCCCCTGGGGGGTGATTTCTCGCTTTCTGTCTCTCTGTCTCTCTCTGTCTGGCAAGCGCACATGCCCTATAGTAAAAACCTCTTCAAAAAAGAAAAAAAGAAAAATGTCAGTATTGTAAAATTTCAAAAATTATACTTTGCGGGAACCAGCAGTTAGCGTAATGGCTATGTCGCTGGACTCCCACGTAGTCGACCGCGGTTCGTGTCCCGGACCCGGTGGCTTAAAACTCACGCCGGGCGCGTGTGCGTGCGTGCCCAAGATCCCGAGAGGAGAATGGAGGAGAAGGGATTGCGGCGTGACCATCCCCCCTGGGGGGTGATTTCTCGCTTTCTGTCTCTATGTCTCTCTCTGTCTGTCTGGCGAGCGCACGCGCCCTACAGTGAAAATCTCTCCAAAAAAAAAAAAAATTATACTTTGCAGTTATTTCAACTTATGGAAAATTTGAGAGTCAAGTTAGAATGTTTGAGGGGAGAAAAGTTTTCCAGAATTTGTTTAAAGGGCACAAAAGTTAAAAAAATAAAGTGAATACCATTTCTACAGATCACCTGGCATTATAAGTAATAATTCCCTTATCTCAAGTTCTACTATTCTCTCCCTTGCTCAAGCCACTCCTTGCTGGTCCTCTAGCAAGCCAAGAATTCACGTGCCTTGGGCCTGTTGCACTTGCTCTTAATTCCTGTACCTGGAACACTCTTCTGCAAGACAGGCTTTTTGACCTTACTAGTAGAGAGACCTTCTTCAGTCACCTCTAGTCTCCTATACCCTGCTTATTATTATTTTTTCATAGCATTTACCACTCCCTGGTGTATACTTATTACTGATCTTTATCCAGTATAAATTCCTCAAACACCCAAAGCTCCTTTCTTTTGGTCTGGCCTGTATTTCTAGCAAATCTAGAACACTGACACACAATAAGGGGGCCAAAAATATTTCTGAAGAAATAAATGAAAAAATGTTATCACATGATTTGAAGGATTTACACCAGCTCACAAATAACAACTTCTTGGGAATACTCAGAAAACCAAATCACTTCATGATTGTACCACTAAAAAAGCTGTTGCACTACATAAAATCCCCTAACTACTTCTTCAAATAAAAGGTATTAAAAGTATACTGTTAGGGCAGCCAGCTCAGCCCAGGACACCAACTAGGATCTCTGAAGGGCACGATATCGGTTAAATCAGTGGCTTCCCAAACTGACACCCATCAGAATCAGCTGATACCCATCACCTCTCCCCTACTTCCCCATTCAGGTCTGGGGTGTGGCCCTGGCATCTCCGCTATGAAAAAACTCTTTAGTTGATGGGTTTTCTGATATTCAGGGACGTCTGGGAATCATTTTAGAATTTCTACCTTCCCTGGTCTTTTCGGCTTATATCTGATAGACCGCAGTTCACTAAAAGAAAGGCCCGGCTTTACTGCTCTCCCCGGCCACGCCACCCACGGGGACGCGGCCGCCATCGCACGGTGCAGAGGCCTGGGCGGTGAGCACCTCGGAGCCAGGAGGCCCGGGCGTCCGAGCAGGCGGCAGGTGAAGCCTCGGTGGGGACGCGTTCGTCGCCAGGGACCACGCCGCCGAGAGACGCTCGCTCCGCCAGGGACCAGGCCTCCTGTCCTTCTCCCCTTTTCTGCCCTTCTCTCCGCACCACCTCTGCTGCCGAGCTCAGACGCGCTCCCAGCCAGAAGCCACTCAGCGTTAAGGGCGTCTGGCCGTAAAACCTTCGGGGCTACGGAGCTACAACACTGACGCAAAAGAACCGGCCACGGAGGTCCGGACAGCGCAGCCGGGCGGCCTCGGAGCCCGCGCGGGAGTTCCCGCCTCCCCCGGAGCACGTCGGTGCGTACGTGCGCGCGCCGCGCCCGCCCTCCTTCAAACGCGCGACGCGAGGGCGGAGGCGCCGCGTGCGCGCGCGCTCTCGTT